TCCAGTACATCCAGAAAACTGAGTTAGGTACAGATCACTCAGCCTGCACTCTCAGGATTGTGGGAAAATCTGTTCTTCGGACTTTCCCAATACTTCTGCAGTAAGCACAGTTCTGTTAGTCCTTTTTTGCTAATAGGGTCATTAAAACTCAGTACATAGCTCCAGTATCGATAAAGAAGCTTATGACCTTGTTCCCCACTGTCAGTTACACCTGCAGCTCCTGTAGGAAAATGATGATTGGAACCCAAAGGATTGTTAGAGCCCCAAGCTTCCTTCAGTCCTTGGCAAAGTCATCATAAATTCCTGCCATCTGATGTTTTATCCTTTTTATTTAAAAATTTGTGGCAGTTTCTCTTTCAGTGTCCATTCTCATCAAAGTATGGATGTTGATTTTTCCCTAAAGGCCTTTTTCTTTTTGAGTAGGGCCTCCAGTTCCAGTTTCCGACACTGGGTGTTTTGAATGAAAATGGTTGCTCGTTTGGCTGTTTTATTTTTCAATCATTACAGACCATGAAGGCTGTGTCCACCAGTTGAGAAGGGTTCATGCCCATAGCCACTCCAACTTTCTGTATTTTTCACCTAATGTCAGGGGCACTCTCCCCAATGAAGATCATACTGACCATTCTTATATTTTTCAGAGGTTTCTGGGTCTAAACTGGTATGTACCTGTATGTTTAGTATATTCTTTTTAACCAGGATAAGGGGTCTTTGGTTGTTCCTTGCTGTAATTGTTGTATCTTATTTAAGCTTCTTGGTTTAAGTGCCCCTTCTTGGAGCTCTCCCAGGTGTTTTATTATAATGGTCTAGTTAGAATCTGTTATTGGTAGAATTTAGGTCCTAGCTTGGGTATTGCATCTCTTGGACCTGCAGTGTGTTGGGGGTCAGCCTGGTGAAGGATCTCATTAGCCTTGTTTAAGACATGATTTCTCTCATCTAAACTTAACATTATATTGAGCAATCCTTGTGCATCAGCCCAAGTAAGGGTATGGGTGGCAAAAATGATGGTAAAGAGTTCCACCATCCTTTGGGGATCATCATGATGAGGAAGGTAAAGAGCTTTTTCAATTTAATAGGTCAGAAGTAGAAAATGGGCATGAGTACAATTGTAAGTAGCCCATTAATTAATCTTGGGCATTTGGCCCACCTGCTGGATAGTGTCTCCTTGGGAATTTACCTGCTTGGATGGACATCCAGGCCAAATTAGGTGTGCTGGTGGGTCTTACAGGGAGTGACTTTCAGATTTACCAACACATGAAGTAAGCATTTCTTCTGATGCTCCAGCAGCATGAAATGGGGGTGGAGGATCTATTGGGAGTGAGGGAGCCACAGCATTCAAAGTAGTTAGCAACATTCTTCCCTCCCTTCAGCATCTTCATTGATATCTGATGGGAGATTTAACTTTGATATCTGGGATGTTTGTGCCATAGGTTTAGCTCCTTCTTTAGAGGAATCTTCATGTAAAATCATAAAGAGATTGGACATGTGGTATCTCATCCACCTTCCTGATTTCCAGCCAAACTATTCCAACGATAAAATGGTATAGAAAATTTAGAAACCTGCCTGGGGACCACTTCACCTTTGCATCTACTGCATACTTAGGCTATGTAGTACTGTAATAATGCATCATCTTTTTCTTAAGCCATGGGTTTACAAGCTATAATTAGACCAGATACCTCCCCTTGGGGAGTTTTCCTTGAAATTTCCAGAATTCCCTTTGGAGAGTTTCCTGATAGTACAGACCCAGTATTTCCCACAATTACACAAATTACTATAGAGATCTCCCAAATACTCTAGCTTCTTAATGTACCTTGCATCTCATCTTACTGCTTTGTCCTGCCAAATTTCAAATTTCCTTGTTTAAAACCAAATAACCTAAGTCAAAAATAGCCCAAAAGAACTCAAACAATGGAGAAACAAAAACCACAAAATTCCAAAATTTCTTGTCCATACAACAGTCTACACCTAGAATAGCATGAAAGAGCTTCAAACAACAAGACAAGCAAAAAAAGGTCCAGCATGAACTGTTATAAAAAGGATCTTACAGGGTCTCTAAATTCACTCATTTTTTCACTTTACCAAACAGTGATCAAAAGCAGCTGATACTGGCCAACATTGAAAGATAAAAAGTCCGTGAAATAAAAGTAATTCCAGCAGTTGGGTAGGACTATTTAATCTTTTTCCTCTCCATCCAGGTTCAACTTACTGCAAGTGACTAATGTATGTTCACAAGGCATGCTTAATCCTGACTGGTTCACCAGAGTTTGTAACTGTAGGTTTTAAGACAAAAAGCCCCACTCTGGGAGTCACAAACAGTCTACTTGGCCACCCTTCCAAATGTGCCAATTAAACAGATGAGTAATTGTGATTGGCAAAGATTTAACTGAACATGACTACGTGATGGATAAAGGAGTTCAGTGATCTTCAGAGTCTTTAAGGGGCTTATAGGAATTTTGAGGTTTTATAAAAAATGAAAGACAAAGGAGGGGTTTGTAGTATGCACAGCTGACAAAGCAGGTAATCTTGGCCAGGTCAGTGGTCTGATCAATCATTCTCTCAGTCTTGGTTCTGTGAAGGGTTCCAGAGAAGTTGTCATTACTGTCATCACTTGAGGGGAGTAATCTGTTTCCATAAGGTGATTACTCCTGCCCTCATGGGGTGAGGGGGAAGTCTGTTCTCACTGTTGTGTAGGGGTAGTTTTGGTCCCTTGTCATGAAAAATGTTTATCCATCAGTCCTTCCTAGAATCCAAAGTGAAAGTAGGAGAAAAAGACTTAGAAGGAAAAAATTGAAGAGGCAAAATTAGATCCAGAGAACAAAATGGTGTTCAGCCAGTAACTGGTAGCCTCCTTCATTTTGTGTACTTGTACACTTTGTTTTTTCTTTTTTAACATCATAGTAGTTTCATAATTTTACATTCTTTTTTTAAAATAATTTACCATCTAACTCATTTGTCCTCTAACACACACACCCCAACATAATACAACACCCCCAACCACCACCATTTTTGAGACTGTTAGTATGTTGCCCAAGCTAAGGCCAAACTTGCAATCCTCCCATCAGCCTCTTGAGTAGCTGGGATTTCATTTGTTCTAACACTTTGTAATTTCAGACATGACGGTTTTGTTACCTTTTCTACGGAAATTGGCACAAAGAGGTTGTAGATTGAGAGACAACTAGTGAAGGGAAGATCTATGGTTAGCTCAGGTCTTTAGACTCCAGGCCTAGAGCTTTTTCTACTGCATCAAAGGTGCTATCATTCTTCCTATATAATTTGCAAGCCTTTATAATTATTCCTACTAAACATTGTTTTGTTTGATTTGGCCCACCAATCTTGTTATTGTTTTGGATCCTGCCGTCATTCAGGTACTCCTAGATGTGCATTATATCGAAATTCTCCTGGCTTTCCCAATCTCCAAGATGTTGATTGATATGTAAAATATTAAAAAAAAAAGTGGCAATTGCTAAACCCAGTGAATGGAAGACAATAGGTTGCTTAGTTAATCCTTGTCAAATGCATGATGTATCACTCAGTAAAGCCTCTCTTACGTTGAAATAATATTAGAATAAGGTTGAATAGCTCATTCTGGTTCTACCAAAGCATGTTGTTATTTCTAGCCATATAACTCCATCTTGCTTCAAATGAGATGTATCATCATTTTGTTCAAGTCTAGGTATACTCCACTTACACATTCTTTTGGTCTGCCAGTCAAGTGACTATATCTACTGGGGAAACCAGGACTGACCTGGTAGGGCTTGTTTTGCCTACCTTATTGAAATTTGCTAACCCTCTTTTGACTTTCAAATGCCTGAAAATTACCAGATTGGTGACCAGTCCTAACTCTTACAGGTCGATGGTGTTAAACTCCCCAGTTTGCAATGCTTACCTTTCTGAAAATCAAAGTAGTTCCTGTCTCCAAATATCTGCTCCTTTTCTCTGGGTTTTTATTGTAAGTTTCCTGGGAGCCTAGTTCAAAGTAATAGATACTCTGCTGCTTCTCCTTACATGGGCTTCAGTTCACCTTTACCAAACTTGCTTATGTGAAAAATCACTTAGCCATTCCTTATTAACATTGTACCTATCAATGACTTGGAGATTTGGAAAACAGAATTTCTATACCATACACATCTAGGAGTACCGGAATGACTGGCAGGATACCAAATAACAGGAATGATGGGTCAAATCAGTCAAAAAGATGTTTAGCAGGGATAATTGTAAAGGCCTGCACATTATGTGGGTGGAATGGTAGTAATTTTGATGCAGTAGGAAAACTTTTACATCTGTAGTCCATACCTCTCTGCTAGAAATTGCAATTCATTCTGAGTTACCACCCTCAGGACATGTCTGTGATGAACAAGTTTAAGTAATACTGTTTTTGTTTCAATATTTGTTCATCTATATTTTGATTATCTTTTTGTCACCCATCAACATTCTACCATCAGCTTCAATCCCTTAGTTTATCCTTCATTGCTCTGCTTGCTCTGACTGTAGCTACAAAGGCCTCTGGGACTCTTTCATGTGTTTGTAATACTCTACTCATTCAGGACTTTTAGGATCTTACAACTCTTTGGTTTCTGTATAAGTACCCAAAACCACTCTTATTGGAGAGCACACTTTCTACAGCTTATCACTTTATTATGCTGTTTTTGGACATTTTGTCTAGTAACAAAATTATATACAGGTGTCAATTGAGGATTTGACTCTGGAAATTCATCAGGCTAAGGTTTGACTAGCATCTTCAGATTTTTTCAAGACCTAGAAAAATACCCAGCATCCTTGTGTCTTACTGTTTTGTAACAGCTTGTTCCCTGTCCAACTACAGTAACAGCATTCTCCTACCTATCACAGATAACATGGCCGCATTGTTCACAGGCTTCCTCCAAATGCGTCTTAGCAATTTGATTAATTAGGAAGGACTCTTGGGGATTTGTAGGCTTGTTTATCCTGTGGTTAACTGTGCTATTGACTATAGATAACTACAACAGATTTTCTTGTTTTTCCAGGAGGCAAACCAGATGATTTCTTCTGACTCTGTTTCATCTGCCAGTAGTTTCTTGAGCTTGAATTCTACTCTTTGCAACAAACAAAATGTACACATATTAAGTAAGGGCATCCAAGCAGGTAAACTTTTTTATTGAAATAAAAAATGTTCTTAAACATAAGATACTAACCCTTTTACATAATAAAGTTGTGAAATAGATTAAAACTACTTGAATATCCAAATGCTATTTAACCTATAAATTGGCAAAAATCCAAGTATATGAATAGGAGGTTATGAAAACGAACACCCTCATACTAGTGGTATAACTTGGTAAAAACCCCGATGGGAGGCAATTTGGCAGTTTGTTTCAAAATTACTTTGACCCAGCATTGTTGCTTTTGGAATTTAACCTGTACATATACTCAGATATGTACAAAATGCCAGGTAAACAAAATTTACTATTGGAGTATTATTTGTGATAGCAGAAAATTAAAATAAATTTTGATAAATCATCAATAACTGAATGGTTAAATAAATTATTATGCTTCCATATAATGAAATCCTTCATAGAAAGAGCTCCAAGGTATATAATTTAAAAGAAAAAAAATACAGAACAGTGTGTAGTATATTACTGCTATATGTATTTTAAAAAAACAGTAAAGAAGAGAAGAGAATTGCTTAAATGTGCAAAAAGTAATTCTCTGAAACTGTGGTATCAGTGGAGAACAGGAGTGTGAAGGAGGATTTTCTGTTTATACCTTTCTGTACCCTTTGATTTTATAAAACATAAATAAGTAGACTTCCTATTTTTTCCTTCTCCTCAAGTCTTATCTTCACTGCTATCAACTTCTTCCCCATCTGGGTGGTTGCCAGTAGGTCCAGAAGTGCTTAGTATCTTTCTTACTTGAGATCAGAACCAAAATTCTTTGCCCACTGAATCCATATTTGTTCTTCTTTCTCTCTGATGGCTATGTCGACGTAGAAATGAAACCCTTCTTTCTTTCAATCCCTACTGCCCTCCTCCACATCTTTGCATCTCTCCAACTCTTCACATTCCTTCCTTCCTTCCCCTTGCTCATCCAAAAACAAGGCAGCATGTCTGTGAATCATTTATACCTAGTGACTTGAATAAACCTGTCAGCCTAAGCCTCAAGGATGCTCCCAGAGATATCTGTGATCTTTCTGCTCAGGTAATTTGGAGATTGTGAATGGTGCCAAAAAAAACACTCGAGATGTTGGGATGACTTTCCCAACTCCAAGTCCTAGCGAGGCCAAATTAGAAGAGGACAGTGTTGTGACTTCTTGGTCAGAAGAAAGAATTGAAGAGAAAATGTTCTTAACCAATTACCTTGGGAACAAAAAGTTAAAGAACAAGCAGAACTCCTGCGAAGGTCAGTTTTGTTTTTTTTTAAGGTTGGTTTTTATCCAGGTTTATAGCAGAAAAACTACAATATAGGTTTGTAGAAGAAAAACCAGTCTCTTGCAATGCTAAGATTCTTTGATTTTAGGTGACTCTGTGTTGACTCCACCTACCCTCAGCTACCACATTGGCAAACTTACTGAGTATCTGAAATTGCATTTACAGAGTCTTTCCTGCATTTATGACAAATGAGCTCCCCACAAGTCTATGTTACATTATGTCTTTGATGATAGTTAAGTGGGGCTATAAAAACAAAAATCTTTCTTCCTTCTTAAAAATATTTCCTGTAGGAGTTTCCTGGTTTGTTCCTGTGGAAAATGTGAAGTCTGGATCTAAGAAAGAAAACTTTCCCAAGAATTATGGCCCTGGTGTCTCCTGGTTTGAATCAATCACAAAAACTAAACCTTGGAGGGAACCACTTCGGGAACAGAACTGGCAGGGACAGTGCAAGGACATTCAAGGGTCACTGTCTGGTTTACATGGAGATGATGGCCAAAACCAACTGAGGCCATTTGTGAGAACAACACTACAGGTACCATGACATCAAATTAACTTTAGCCATATGTTTACGGGTAGGGGGAAATGGCAACATATAGAGAAGTTACGTGTGTGACTTGGCATGCTGAGGTTTAGTCACATGGCCCTCCACAGTTCATCTGTTTTTATGTGTGAGCTTGTTTTCTCATCATTAATAAAAGGGTGCCTTATTCTAAATGGTGCATGATCCCCAGGATCTGGATACCAGCCAATAGAAGGGAGGACATTGGGGCACTGCTCATCAGGTTTGTAGATACATGCATGTGGTGTTCCCAGAAGCCTGGTATTTGTGTAGGCATTGTACTTGTTCCTCTGTTTAGATAACATCTATTCCTCCTTAACACAGGACTCAAAAGGCACCAAATGAGTCAGTCAGTGTATCTGTCTGTCTGTATCTCTCCTTTGCACATGCTATGCAAGTGCTCTACCTCTAAGCTACACCTCCAGCCCTCACCAAGTCTCTTCTTCAATGTCCTTGAGGACTAAAGGAAATGTTATTTAATGATATATTTATTTGAAGAGAAATTTAAAATAGAACAATGGACTGAACTCATCAACATTTGGGAGAACTGTACCTGCTATAATTTTAGTTCTCAGCTTATCCCAGAATATTTCTTTGATTGAAATCCCTTTGATTTCCCTGCTGGAACTCTCTGTATAGAGAAGAGATCAAAGTATCCTTCGACTCTAGATATTTTCCAAGCTTTAGAAAGAGGCTCTCCAAACCTGCCAGGCAATTAGAGAACAGACTTCATCATTCCTGTGAAACTGGGGCTTTTTCTTCTCTTTAGGAATCACTTCAGCTTCATAGACCTGACTTCATCTCCCGCTCTGGGGAACGGATAAAGCGCCTAAAGTTAATAGTCCAAGAGAGGAAGCTGCAGAACATGTTCCAGTGTGAGCGGAATGCACTGTTCAATGCCACGCCCCCTCTGCCTAGGAGAGGTACACCCTTTTGTCACTTTCCAATGAGTGGCTAGAGAAGGTAAGACTGCTGCTCTGCTAGAGAGCACTGCTGAATATCAGGGTCAATTAGGAATTCTGAATATAATCTTTTTCTTGCTGAGACTCAAATCTCCTTAGCTAGCATACTGGCCCAACCTAGCATTTTAGTGCTTTTGTGATCCACGTAAGCCCTGTCATTGTATCTTAAAAAAGAGAACATGTAATAAGAATCACTTTTTATAGATCAGCTGTGTGTCTATGAGACAGTTAGTTCTGAAAGTATGTTTTTTTCCCTTTAAAGATCCAGCCAATTCTAGCTTGCCTACCTCATATAATAACAATAATAATAATATAATAAACATGTAGCCCTTGTATCTTGCCCAGACACTGTTATCATAACACCTCTCTAAGGAAGGAACTATTAATATCCCTCAGTCACAGTGAGAAAACTGAAGCAAAGAGGTTAAATACCTTTTACAAAAGTACATACCCAATTAGTAACAGCTGGAATTTACACCAAGATGGGCAGGCTCCAGAGTCTGTGCTCTTAACAATTACCCTGAGATCTCAATGAAATAATACATGAAAGCTGTAAAAACTGTGAAGTACTACCTAATGCCGTCATCACAATCTTAACTATATACCGGTCAACTTTTCTGTTCAAACTGTCTGTTCTGTGCGACAAGGTCCTTAGGCTGCTGTTACAGTCATCCTAATTCAATTCTGGCTTTTGTAATGGCCTTGGTCTTCACTCATTGCTTACTACCCTGTATTACTAACTCAGGCACAAAGTTCAGCAGTTCCCTCTCACAGCTCTCGAGTGTCACCCTTTTCCTTACTAAGTACTAGCCACTGAAAATCACTTCTTCTCTTGTTTAGTTTTCCTGCTTGCCCAGAAGAACAAGCCTATTGGAAAGAAGGAAATGATTCAGCATTCTAAACGGTAAGGCCAAAAGAACAAGAGTATAGTAAGCCTGCCTTATTTGTGGATTTATTAACATGCAGTTTTGACCAAATTTGGTGAAAAATAAAAGAAATTAAAACATTTTTAAACTCCCATGTGTGCATTAAGCAGTTCAATTAATGTTGGAGAAGCTCTCATTTAGTCCTGTGTTATCCTCAGTTGTGTTTAAATCGTGTGTAATGATGTACTGTTTCCTTGACCTTAATTTTGTGAAAATATGCCTCCCAGAAGCCAAATGGTGCCCCAAAAGCAAGGTAAAAGTTAATGTGCTTAATTTAAGTGATAAAGTGAAAATTTTAGATTTGTTGAAACATTCTTCAGCAGAAGTTGGTTGGCATTATGGGAAAAATGAATCAAGCATCTGCAGTACAGTAATAAACTCTATGCATCCTGAGCATTCATTATTTTTCCTCAGTAATGATCTCCTTGGAACCATATACCTGCAAATAGCAAGGGTCTACTGTAATTATGAAAATGTAAATCTAGCAACCTGGTGGGCAAGAGCTCTGGCTTGCCTCCACATTAAAAGCATAATTATGCAGCAAGTTGAAACATGAGAAAGTTAATTACGAAAGTGGTTTCTCATAGCACACACATAAAAAAAGAAAAAGCAAAATAGGTAGCAGATATGAATGATTTATGTACAAAAGGTGTAAGAATCCCTATTAACTTGCATGCCTTGATCAAGTTTGTCTTTACTAAACCTATATAGAATTAAAGAATTTTTTGAAAGAAAATTATGTATCTGTTTGGGGCCATCCCCTTTATTTTAGCAATCTCATTTCTCAGAATTTATTGAACCATAATGAAGTGCTTTGCTCTCTAAGACAGTAAGTTAAGCTTTTAAAAAAAAATCAAGTTTCAGAAGCATGCATACATTACTGCCATTTATGGTCTTTAAAAAGAAATATTTGTACCTATATAGATGTATATACTTTTTTTTTCTTTTATTCCTATGTGTATTCAGTGTTTGGGTCATTTCTCCCCCTTTCCCCCCACTCCTCCCTTAACCCCTCATGCCCTCCCTCTCCCCCCCTACCCCCTCACTACCAGGCAGAAGATGTATATACTTTTATATACATATTATATCACTGTAAGATGCAAAAAATGGGTAATAGTGCTTGCCTTTGGGAAAAAAGAACTGAGTGGCTGGGCTAGAGAGGTAGGAGAGATACCACTTTTTCACCTCTGTACTTTTTGAATCTTATGCTTTTGTAAGCATTAGCTGCTAATTAATTAGTTTGATATGTGCATGTATTGATCATGAGAATGCCATGGGAAATTAAGGGTTACATTTTAGGGGTTCATTAGGAGCTTGCTTTAATAAGAACAGTTTTATAATTGACATAATTCTGAAGTAATGGTTCTTGAAAGCAGTTTTTCTCATGTAATTGAAGCATTCCTCTTGAGATCTTATTCTTACTCTCTATTTAGTAAACCTTTATTGATCGTGCAAAGGACGCTTTAATCCAGTGGTTCTTGTAGAGTGGTCTGTGGACCTTTGGGAATTGCTGACACCCCTTCAGGGGATTTGCAAGGTCAGAACTAATTTCAAAACAATACTAGGCTCTTTCGTGACTTTTTCACCGTGTTGACATTTGCACTGATGAGGCACAAAGCAGTGGAAGGAGGAGTAGAACTTCTGGGACCTTAGCACTATTTAAGACACAGGCACCAAACTGGCTCCAAGATGCAAGCAGTGTCACAGAAGTACACATAAAGCACTTCTGCCACAAACTGAAGTACGTTGGGGGTCTATGCAGTGAGCTGAACTAGCTGTCTTTCTCATGGAGCCCAACTTTCACTTAAGAATTGTTGAAAGATAAACTGATTATTCTGATTTAGGTATATGGCAGACATTTTCTTGAAAAAGAAGAAATGAATCTATCACTTCAGGGAAAACAGCTTACAGTATTTGTTGCCAGTGAGAAAATGTGAGCTTTAGAATAGAATTCTGGAAAACTTATCCACCACCATGAACTTAGTAACTTCCTGGGACTTAAGCTTTTCTGACAAGATCAGCAGCAACATTAACAAATGTGATGATGATCTTCATATTACAGAAGTAAATTTGTCAACATTTGGAAAAATCTATGTAACTCACCGCTTGGGGATTTTTCCAAATGATGGTCAGTTGTTACAAACTCAGGCATGAGTAAATGATACATTCAAAGTACAATATAGACTGGTGGATTCTTGTGTAATAGAGTATAAAAAGATCACTGATGCAGTTTCAGATTGTACCTTGCAACTAATTTTTAAGAAATTACCACTCTTCAAGTTTTAGTATAGTATCAAAGAAAATTGAGCTGGACATGCTGGTACATGCCTGTAATCTCAGTACTGAGGAGGCTGAGGCAGGGGAGTGCAAGATCTAGGTCTAGCTAGACCCTGACTCAAGAACCCAAAACAAAAAAGATCAGCAGTTAATCTGAAAAGAATGTTAAAGTATTCCTTTCTTTTCCAGTTACATATATGATGTATATAACCAGATTTAAAAAAAATACAGACTTTAACTAGAATAATGTATGACAACAGACAACACAGAAACAAATACAAGAGTCCAGCTGACTTCTGTTAAACCAAACATTAAAAGGATTTGTAGGGCTGGCAGAGTGGCTCAAGTGGTAGAGTGGCTGCCTAGCAAGCGTGAGGCCCTAAGTTCAAATCCCAGTGCCACCAAAAAAAAGAGAGTGATTTGTAAAAATAGTAATAATAATATAAGACAGTACAGTCTTCTCACTATGTATTTTTTTTTTAATTTTGGAAAATAGACTTTGTTTTTTTGGCAGGTACTCTACCACTTGAGCCATGCCTCCAGCCTATTTGCTCTGGTTATTTTGGAGATAGGGTATTGCTTTTTGCCCAGGCCAGCCTGGACCACGATCCTCCTGTTTTAAGTTTCCTTCCATAGCTGGAATGGCAAGTATGCACAGCACATCCAGCTTTTTTCCAGTGAGATGGGGTCTAGCGATTCTTTCATCTCAGCCTCCCAATTAACTTGGATTACAGGTGTGAGCCGCCAGCACCTGGCTATAATGGGCTTATTGTTATTTTCACTTTATTGCTATTTTTAAGTGAGTTAAGAAAATTTAAAAAATGTTTTAGCTTCAATTTTAATATGGTATTTTATTTTATTTTTATTTTTTATATATTGTATTTTAATAGATAAAATGCACATTGAGGTCTTCAATTTTTAGGGGCATAAATGGGTCCTATATCCAAAACATTTGAGAAACATTGCTTTATTCTGTTACAAAATTTAATTAGGGGAAATTATCCAAGATTCCTGTGTGTCGGCTAATTACACTCTCACCTCAGCGAACCCTTGCTGTAAGGGACTATGAAGCTTGCCTTCAGGATGACAGGCAGGACATCCTCTAAAGGATTGATGCTTTCAATCATAAATGTACTTCTAGGAGTGGATTAAGTTCTAATCTTCTGGAGAAAGTACATTATATACTTTTTTTTTCACTTTTATTCACTTGTATTTCTCATGTGGCACATTTTCAAGGAAGTGATCCATTTTCATCTGAGAACTATAAAAAGGGCAGAGAGGGGAAGTAACTCAGCAGATTGGGATCTGAGCTGGGATTGAAGCCATTGATACTCCTGCAGCTGTATTCTAACAAGGATTTGTATCTCTCATCATCTGTACTCATTATGCTGCCAAAGATGTGCAAATGTCTTGGTGAGAAGAAAAATTTAGAGAAGAGAGAGTTGAGTTCTTCTATATAGGAGGGTTTGTCCCCTTGTGTCCTCTAAGAAATACCTTTGCCTTCCATGGTTTATTTTCCACAGAGCCTTTGCTTCATCTTCAGTGAAATTTTTTTTTTTCAGATTGTAGAAATCTTTGGAAAATACAGAGAAAAGTAGAAAAATGAGCCAAGCACCAGTGGTTCATGCCTATAATCATAGCTACTCAGGTAGCAGAGATCCAGGAGGATCACGGTTCAAGCCAGCCCAGGCAAATAGTTCATGAGACCCTATCTCAGCAATACCTAACACAGGGCTGGGATGTAACTTGGTGGCAGGGTGCTTGCCTAGCATGTGTAATGCCCTGGGTTTGATTCCCAACACCAAGAAAGAAAAGACAAAAAAAGTGGCTCAAGTGGCAGAGTACCTGCCTAGCAAGTGTGAGGTCCTGAGTTCAAACCCTAGTACCACCAAAAAAAAAAGAGTAGAAAGATGAAAATAAATATCACTCATATTTCTTCCCTTTAAACATAGTGACATTAGTTCTGTATCTAGAGGGATACATAGGGGTTTTGCAGAGATTGAGACACCACATTACTGGTCTACTATATGTAGAGGTTTATATCCTGCTTTATATTATGCATTATACTGTGAATACTTTCCCATGTCATTAAAAATTGTTTAAAGCATCTTTTATGCTTTGTAATAATTCATTATATTCCATGATGTGTTTAACTGTTCTTTTATTGGGAAGTTAGATTGTTTCCAATCAGAGTATATTTATCAAATGAACATATGGTTATTTTCTTCCCAACTTCAAATCAGTACCACCCATTCCCAGGTTGGACACAGCCTAATTTTTTTCATGTGACTACAAAACCCTTCATCGTCACCTCACCTTCCAGCCTACCTTCTTTTTGTACTTCATCCCTATATTGCTCTTACTCTTTCCATCAGAACAAGTTTTTTTCCCCTCCTATAGATGTAACTTATTTCCCATTAATTTCCTTATTATTAATAATGTTAATAATAATGGGATTATTATTCCTATTAATAATCCTTTCCCATTGTTTTCCTTGTGCTTAAAAATACAGTAGTAATACCTGTTCATTGTCTTATATTGAAACAATACATTTTTTGCATGTAAAGTAGAAAACAGAAGTTCACCTTTACTCCCTTTATCTTACTCTTCCCAAAAGTAACCACTATTAGCAGTGTTTTATTATGTTTTTACTTACCTGTCTCTTCCAGATTTTGAGCACCCTATACTAGGGTTCTGTCTGTGTCCAAGTGTCTAACAGGAAGGACACTGACTGGGCATGCAGGGGCTGGACCTGTCGAGGGACTAAATGCCTGGAGAGTGGTAGAACTTAGCGGGGTGTGGTGAGAAGAGACCATATACCTTTGTGCCAGTAATGTCATTGCTTTCATTTGTAAGGATTTATGAACAGCTTCCAGAAGTACAGAAAAAGAGAGAAGAGGAGAGGAGGAAATCAGAATATAAGTCCTACCGGCTGCGAGCTCAGCTGTATAAAAAGGTCAGTTGAGTTTATACTCTGTCCAGAGCTGGATAGATCACATTTATCAGGAGAGAGAGAAATGGAGAGAAACAGTCTGACTTATTTGAGCATTCCCTCAGAACTAAACACATTTGAGAAATGCACTCTTCCAGCGCTAAAATTTCAAACATAAGACCCCTGTGATCAGGTTTAGCTCCTCACCTTAATTGTATAAAATACTTCCCATGCATTTTGAATGAAATAAAATTTCATACATAGGAGATAATTTAGATATCATAGTGGAAATGTCCAAAACATCAGAATTGTTAGAGTCCCAAATGGTGGCTTTTTGCCTCTCATGGGTAAATCAGATACCTCTAGAGCTATTTTAATATACTGGAAAATGTCTGAATATGGCCTAAAAGGTGTCATCCTTGGGGATGGTTAGAGATTGTAGCCCCAGTAGAGTCAGTGGTGCTACAAGTCCAAGAACCTCACCAGACAGGGGTCTTGCTGCTATTAATTTCCTGAAAAGCCAGACTGACCACTGGGCCTGAAGGGCCTTGTTCTTGTTGCCTCTCAACTTCCTCACTACCCCTCAGAGGATTCTGAAAGTCAGAAACCAAAAGACCAGATCATACTACACTGGAATGGGACTTGGGAACTGTCCCTGGAGCACCCAGAGCCCATGTCAGGGGAGCCCCCGGACACTGTTTGGCCTGTCTGCTTTGTTAGAATCATAAGACTGGGCCCCTTGCTGTGCTTGTGTGTTGTGAACTGATGGATTGGTAAGTCTGTATCTGCGTAGAAATAATAGGTATTGCTTGCAGATCATCTTTCCTAAACACTTTAGGAAGTATTTTTTGTCTAACTGCCATAATTTCTATAGCTGAGTAACATAAACAAGAAACAAGATTTGGGAAGAACCATGTGGGTTTCTTTAGCAACACATTTGGGGTGAGGAGTGCCATCTGTCTTTGATAACAAGAGTACTTTTGACCTCTTTCCTGCCTTTCTTTTCTTCCACAGAAAGTGACCAATCAACTCCTGGGGAGAAAAGTTCCCTGGGACTGACATAATTTTCCTCGGAGCCTTGGAATTATTTTTTATGAACCTGGAGATGCATAATCCTTACTTTTATGGGTCTGATTTAATAAAGCTTACTCTTTGTCCATGTGTAACTTTGTAACCTCTAAGGTCTGGAGCACAGTGGTGGTTAGAATGATTTGATGGTTTAGAAGCAGTCCTTTCTCCACAGAGGCCTTGCCACATTGTTGTGAATTACAGTGGTATTATCTCTTAATTCTAGTCAAGAGTGAGTCTCATTTTGTATGTATTTTTGTACTTTTAGAAAATAAATAACTTTTGATTTACTCTAGTAAAACAACCACAGAGGGTCATTTCTTTCCCATCTGGAGAGGAACAGGGAGCTGGGTAATATCTGCCCTGATAAACGGCATGGCACAGCAAGAGCCCTTTGTGGTGTTTGTTGGGAGTGTCTGGTCAGGGTGCCCACTAGATGTATGAGACTCCTGGCACACACAGGCACCAGAGCCTCCTCTCAGATTCCCTCCAACTACCCTGCGGACTGTCTTTGGAGGCTGGGAGAAAAACCACCATCCTTCATTGGTGGGTTTTCCTCCACTCACTGTTGTTTCAGGATTGAAACCTCAGACTATTCATCACACATGAACCAATATTTATGACCTAGAGAACAGCTTATGGAAAAGATAAGTTGATAATTGAGATAAGGTACATACAATAATTCATCTAGCACCTGGGCAGAGTACATCAGGACTTACTCCCCTTGTGACCTAAAAATATAGCTAAGGCCCAAAGTTGAGGGAGTAAGGTGCTGAGCAGCCTCACTGTAAGTTCAGCAAACCTCCAGCAGTGGGAGCGCTCAGGAACAGTGACCTCCGCAGAAGGCTTCCTGGAGACCAAGCAGGCCCTGCACACCCCAAGTACATGCAGAGCTTTAAAATAGAACCACCCAAGCTCCCGCCAGAATCCTGAAAAATGCCAGGAAGATGACATGTAAAGAATGTCTTTCCTTTCTTGCTGGGCAAGGTAATTAACTACTCAGGGCAACATGTGAAATGAGAGTACACCTAAGTCCCCTTTTAGCTCCAAAATGCTACAGCTATTGACATGTCTTGTGGAGGCTACTATTCAGAATAGAAACATAAAGTAATAGTTGTTTTAAAACCTGGATCTGCAAGGAAGCCAGGGCAGGATGGAGTCCAATTAGGAATAATGAGCATGATTCCAGATCATCCAGATGCTTTCCCAGAGCAATTAGATTCAGAGCCTGAGAAGCCCTAGGTAGCATCTGACAGCTAGCTCCTCCCAGCCCCAGCCAGAGCATACCTCCTCAAGGATGCTAACAGGTACACTGGGGAAATCTGCCCTCACATTAGAGCAGTATTCCCCCAGGCCGCAGCCATGGGCATTACCATGTGCAGAGTCAAAGCAAAGTTGGTGGTGGCCAGGCCCAGTGACTCATGACTATAATCCCAGCTATTTGAGACGGAGCGATTAAGAGGATCATAGTTCGAGGCCAGCCCAGGCAAAAAGTTAGAAACACCCCATTTTAAACTCAACAAAACAAACCAGGTATGGTATAATCCCTGGTAGGCAAGGAGGCATAGGTAGGAGGATCACAGTCTGAGGTCGGCCCCAAGCAAAAACACAAGACCTTATCTGAAAAAGCAACCTAAAAGTGAAAAGGACTGGGAGCTTGGCTCAAGTGGTAAAGTGCCTTTCTAGCAAGCACAAAGCCCTGGTTTTAAATCCCAGTAAAGGAAAAATTAAAAAAATGGGGCACTGAAAGTTGTCACTGCTACAGTCTCTCTGCCCCTCCTATGCACAGAGATCTTTGGCTGATGTTTGCAGAGTACAGCACCCACCTCATCCACCTCCCATCTTTTCTAGAGTCTGTTCCATTCTCAGAATACAGACTGTTTCCCTGACTCCACACACATCCATTTGGGTTGTGTACCTGCAGAAGTCACAGAGTCCCCATTTCATGCTGCTACTTGTACATCTTGCAGACTCTGTGCTCCCCTCCACCATTCACACAAGCACGTTTGTCCTGGCAGTACTGCACACCAGGCCCAGCCGAACCCTAGCCTCTTACTTTGCTTTGTTCTCACACAAGTACAGAAGCTCAGGCCAGGGCTGTATACTGCCACAGCTTCTAAGGAATGGTGGGATTCATTCTGGAGCTGCTGCTTCCTAGACCTGGTTCACACCTAACCTGAGCACCTTCTCCCCTCTTTCTTCTGGAGGTTTTGACTCAAGCCTCCTTAGCCACTCTTTCTGAGAACAGCTTCTGCTTCTTGCAGAAACTACAGCAGGATCCTCCAGTGACCACTGTGTGGTGACCTCACACCAATTTGGCGTGAGGGTATATATGAAGGAGGCAGACTATTGACTGACTCACAAGATATTTTATATGTCCCAAATGATTGTTCTGCCCAGTTGTTAGAAAGTTAGACAAAGCCAAACTGTTAACATGGTCTGCATCTTTACCTCTTTAGGATAAATTATTTTAACCTACAATGTTAGTTTTATTTTTACTGTCTCTGAATCTATGCTTATAGATAGCCTTCTCCATTTCTCAGTACTTAAGATGAATGGGAGGCAGGGGACGGGAGTGGGGGTGCCGGCGGGGTGGTGGGGGGAGAGGATCACATGGGAAAATCAGTTTTCCAAAAGTATCGGCCTCTAGGTGGCACTCTTGGCTCATCTCCACAGCCTTTGCCCCTTTGCATCAACCTAAGATGAACATCCTCATCTAAAGAAACTCAACCCCTAAGAGAGGTCATTTTCCAAATCTCACCCTGCCACTTAAGGGGATTCCCAAGATACATGGATATGGATTTTAATATTCTTAGTCTGAACAACAACTCTCCTACCTGTCAGAGAGCCATGGTTGGACCAGAAATACTCAGTAACTCAAGCCATCTCCTACTTAGCCATTAGGGTAAAATCTGCCATGCATGCATGTTCAAACCCCAGTACTTCCCCCAAAAAATGTTTTTGCTAGAAGAAAATATAGGAGCGTCTCCCTACAAATTTAGTTAAAGAAAAGTATGTTAAAGGAGAAGTATCTTAAGATTGATATATTTATAGATAAGATGTGAAAATTTTACCTAAAAAAATAGTGAAAAGACAAAGGCATAAAATGAGAGATGATTACAGCACATGTAACCAACAAAAGATTTTTATCCAGACTATATAAAGAAGTCCCATGAATCAATTTTTTTTCCAAAGGCCATCCAGAGGAAAATAGGCAAAGTGTAACAGGAGTAGGAAATTACACAGAAGAACAAACACATCTGGCCCATAAACCTGAAAAGTTGCTCCACTTTAGGGGAAAATGTACATTATATGCAAAATAGAAATACCTTTTATGCTTAACAGATTGGCAGAGTTATTTACTTCTGACAAGAGTTGGCAAAAATGTGGGTCAAATGGAACACAAACTGCTTGAACAAGTTTGTATTTACTTTATAACTCAGTGGCTCTAAGTACACACTCTAGGAAAAGTGCTAATCTACCTTGGAAGGTTAGCAGCAATATCTTCTGATTGCCTTTTTTTTGACAGGACTGACATTTGAACTCTGGTCTTAGAGATTAAGTGGTAGAGCAAGTGCTCTACCATTTAAGCCACACCTCCAGCTATAATAACATCAATGTCTTCTTAACATAGCAGTGAACTGAAAACAACTCAGATGTCCCTTCACAAGAAAATGTGTATGTAACAAGTGGTGTATTCACACAAAAGAATTCTGGACAGAAAATTAATGAACAATAGCCACACACATCCACTCTGATGAATCTTAAAAGCAACACTGAGTAGAAAGAACCAAACTACAGAATACATTGCATAATACCATAATTATAATGTTGAAGACACTGGAGGCTGAGGTGAGAAGATTGGGAATTCAAAGCCAGCCAGGGCTATGTAGCAAGACCCTGTCTCTAAATAAAGTTCAAAAACAAGCCAAGGTAAAGGTGTTGCTTAGGGACATATGTAGACCCAGGCATTTTTTAGGTAGCTAGATGATTAGATACATACATACATACATACATACGAAGACTGATTTTTCAGTAGAAAATAATGGTTATGTCTTGAGAGAGAAGGGATTGGGAAAGAGCTTCAAAAGTCTTGGTCAGAATAGTGACATCTTTCTAGTTCATCAGTCAACTCATGAGTGCTCATTTATTTATGTATTCAATTTATATAAAACATTTTAGTGAATCAAATGTTTTCTAAGCTTATAGTGGGCAGATTGTTAAACAGATTCAAAAGTAAATATAATTTCTAACTCTTAAGAACAATGTTGCTGTAACCATTAAGACCAAATTTATGCATCCCTTGCTGCCCTTAAGTCTTCTCAATGGGAAGACTCCTTCCTTTTTGCAAAGATGAGAACACAAGTAATCCCTTCCAATCACTTTTAGGTGGTTATGCATTCTATAATTCTTACTTTTTATTGAGAATGGAGTTTCCACTCAATAAGTAAAAGTGTAAAACTGAAGCTCCTGCCTTTTGTTCAAGTTCAAGTTTTCTCTTCCATATCTGGGCCCCACCATGCACCATCTGGGGAGCACAGTCCTCTCTGCCCCTGCCTGGCACATTGTGCCTATCCTCTGTACATGTATCCACGTGTACCTGTAGTGGGGCTATTGGAACATTGGACCCTATCTCTGATTATACAAATGATAGGTTTTCCTCTGTCTTCTGCTTCTCTTCCCCAAAATTTCTAGCAGTCACTTCAATCAATACTCAGTCTTCTTAAGCAAGATTGAAAACAGCTCAGTGCCAGCCTCTTGCAAGGACATTTGTATTCCAGATCCTCAGAAAACACTCCTCCCTTCCTCTGTCCTGGTAAAACTCAGAGTTCATGCTGACCCCAAGGCCATGGCCCAGCTAGACTCCAATACTTGCTCTCTCAGACAAGTCAGCCCCACTCCACTGAACTCTAGCTGCAAGGATTGCATATCAAGTGGCAAAGGCCCACATCCAGATCTGGAACCACATGCACTTAAATTATGCATCTTGCCATGGTAGATAATCAGAGATTAACCAAGCCTGATGTGTCCACACCTCCTCCTGGATTTTTGAGGGGAAGAGTAAGCAACCTGTGGACTAGACTCAAGTCTAGAATTCTGGATAGTGTCCACAGAAAAGCCGCCAGGTATAACTGTTAAAAATACAGGACTCCAGTTATACTGGAATTATAGGTAAACAAGAAATGATTTTTTTAGTGTATGTCTGCCCTATGAATATTTGGGCTATAATTATAC